TGTGAAAACACAACCCATGATTCTTACACAGCACTCTTTTCAAACTAGATTTCTTTTTTTGTGTTTATTTTAATTACACAACCCGACCGTTAACAGTAATACAGCAGTTTTGTGTTGGCAGCAGATTTACAAGTGGTACAGTAATTGTTTTATAGGACATTTACTTGTTGAGAAGGTTTGTTCACAATACTTGTCAGGACTTTTTTTTTCTACATGGATGAACTTGCACATTTTAGTTTTGCCTCTGGTATAAAGAGCCCTGCAATAGACATGAAGTTGCAACTTGTGTGAGCCCACAGGTGGAAAGGTGAGAATGTTGCCACGACCGAGGTGTCTGACATCTTGACGATCTGTGATTGTCTCAAAGAAGCCAACGTTTACGGAGTCCAAGTGCCAGGTGATTGTTACTTTCTCTGTATTTTTTCAGCTCACCATGATTTCTATAAGAATATCATCACCACCTTTGTTTTGCTATGTAGGCCATGAGGGGCGGATAGGGATGGCAGCTGTCACTCTGAAGAAAGAAGTCCAGTTCGACAGACATAAAATATACAACCATGTGGTCAGCTGCCTGCCCTCATATGCACGTCCTCGCTTTATAAGGATGCAGGTAATTTAATTTTCTGTTTCGGTTTAGGATGAAGCACCAGGCATATTTTAATTTTTGAAAAGAAACAGAGTAATCATTGATCCAATATTGATGATTTCTTTCTGTGTAGAGCGCTGTGGAAGTAACTGGGACTTTCAAACAGATGAAGGTAAAATTAGTGGAGGAGGGATTTGATCCAGGACGTATCCAGGACCCTCTTTACATCCTTGATGATAATGCCAAGAGCTACGTACCACTGACAGCTCAGATCTATCATGCCATCATATCAGGAAGCACGAAACTATGAGCGGGCTCTCAGTTTTCACCAGATGTGCAAGCTTTTTGGGTAATTGGTATTTTTAATGAATTAACTTCCAGCTCAGGGAAGAAACACACTTTTCAATAATGCTCTAGTTGGTTAAATCACATTTTTTAAGGCAGCACGTGGGACTCTGTGTACAAGGGGAGGGGTTTGTCACACTATAAATGTGTATTTACTCGCACGCTGACTTCTGTTTATGCATGTACTTTTTTTCAGTGTTGCGTTCATGTGTTATGGTACGACAATTGTGGTGAAGAAACACTATGGATAGACAGTGTAGTTTACATACTTCATTTCATACTTATTTTTTATGTACTTCACAAGAATTATTTGCTTTTCTTCAAGTGATGAGTACCTCATGATCATTTAATACTTACAAAATTATATATTAAGGGGAATGATATTAATGCATTTTATAATAATGTGTCAGTAACTGTAAATGTGCGTTGCTTTCTTCAGAATTAAAGTTAAGCCAGAAGCAGTTTTCGTGCTTGTGCTTGCTCGGATTTTGCTCACTACAAAAATTTCAGATGTGACATGTGACGTGGAACAGTCACTAGGTGGAGACAAACACTGCTTGAGCTTCACTCCTCACTGTGGTTGAAACAGAGTAGCAAATCAGCAGTCAGTAAATTAACTTCAACATCTAGAATTTACTCCCTTTTCTGACTGTGTGGGAACCACAGATCCTGGGTTATCCTCACGTTCAGCCACAAAATGTGGCTTGGGTTTACCAAATCATGAAAATCAGCACCAGACTAAATGTGGGGGAGGGAAGGAGGGAGGTTGTCTATACACATACATGCATTTCTGCACATTTTTTCTGAAAATGGAGAAGTACCATTTTCAAGGACAGGATGGGTGAAAAAGCAGCCAATGCTTTATTACCGTGTAACTGTTGTGTAATGTTTTTTCTGCCTTATCTGCTTTTATGTTTTTATGATCAGTTGGTTGTGTTAAAGGAAGGTGGCTGGAGAGCCGCACAGGAATCTTTGATGTAAATCCTCTGTTAATGTTTTCAGCTCATTATTTGGCAGCCACTGGACAAAACCCACTTGACCTACCTGTCTTTGCCAAGTGTGAAAATTGCAGAAAAACAAGACCATAATTATTCCACTGTTCATGTTACTTTTGGAAGCACTGGAGTGCAACTCATGGAGATCAGATAGTCCCGAGCTTGAAAGTGTTGAAAGGGGTGTTACACTTTCAGCTCATCCAGCAAAACGAGCTGTGGTGAGGCATCTAACTGTCTGTCCATTTGTAGTTCACAAGAATCACAAATATCACAACTAGTGGTCAGAATTTAACCAAACTTGCTCACATTAATCACCTAATGGGTTCTCATGGACACTGTGCTGAAGCTCAAGGTCACATTTATAATCTGACAATCTGATTACTTTGATCCGAGCCAGAGTCATCGAGAGTTTTACAGGCTTCATACTGACAAAGGTGTTATCCAACATCTGCCACACACACTAAAAGTAACATGGTTCAGACAAGGAGCCTTCCTGACACCTTTCTTTGAGTTACGACAGTAGCATTCCCTGTAAAGCCATTAGATTGACCAGTAATTAACAGATATTGTTAAATAACATAGTGCACATAAGCATGTTTTCCGATGTTTACACTTTACACGTTCTATACCTGGCCCAGGTTTCAAAAATCCCTATTGTTTATGCATCAACTTGGTATTCCATTTGAATCATGGGTGGAAGTTTGCATTTGGTGGAGCGCCATTAGAATAGAACCAATGTTTTCAGGAACTCGGGAGTTCCCTGACAATATCATGTTTACTCGTTTTCTAAACCCAGAAAGCACACTCAGGCAACAGTGTGTGAGATGCAAGTGTTTATTTAGAAAGTGCTGAGAGGAACTGAGAATCTCGGAAAAGGCAACACAGTGTTAGTTTGTTCACGGAGATGGACTCATCTTACATCCGGAGAGGGAATATGTTGGTGTGCAGACTAGGTGAAGAATGACCAGGCCATTGAACTTTCAGTTGGTACTGAGTTCTGCAGATAATTGTAAGGCTGAGGTGTTTAGGCACAATACCGGCTGGGACCTGGAAGAGCCATGAGGCTTAACTGGTAAACCCTTCAGGTGAGTGAACATGGTGTGTGTCTGTGTGCTGTAGTGAAATCAAAAACAGTGAGAATACTGAAGAAATACAAAGGCACGGATGGAGCAAATCTACCATCATAGTGGACTGTACGATCTGACTGGGAATCACAACCACAGCCTAATGGTAGATAGGGGTGGGCAGATGGACTGGACTGGTCGCTTTTCTACTCTTCTGAGCACTCAAAGCGCTTTACACAACTTGTGCATTCACACCCATTCACACAAGCACATTGTTCTAAGTGCTTTCTAAGTAGCATTCACACACACTCATACGAGCAATTTGTAAGACTGTGACCTGATCAGATATCACTGGACTTCTCCACTACTATGAAATAAAACATGTTAAGTAAAAAGTGAATTCTAACAGTTTGAAAGTCATAGGGTTATTTTGATAATGCATTTTATTGGCTTATTAACAGATAACACCAGCTAGTTTGTGAAGAACCCTATCTCTACTTAAAATGCTTGATATCATCCTATAAAATTATTATTTGAAATGATAACAGCATCTTTTTTATTTTAAAATTGAAAGAAAATGATAATTTGCCCCATTTAGATGTTTTAAAGATAGATTGCTCTAATACTTTGACCACCTTTTTTCCCTCGTTCACCACACTGTGCAAACGGTACATGCATCCCTGTGCTTAGCTCGCTTGCTACCAGTGTTGGTCAAGTTACTTGAAAAAAGTAATCAGTAACTAATTACTGATTACTTCCCCCCAAAAGTAATCCCAGTTACTTTACTGATTACTTATTTTCAAAAGTTTAATTACATTACTTAGTTACTTTTTAAAAACACGATTTACAACCTGAAGAGGTGATAAAGCGATAGATCTTTCAGCCCAATTCTACTTTTTCTGCATAATCCATCATACAAAATGTAATCAAATGGAAAAGTTCTTTTTTTAACTTGTTTTATCAGTTTTAATCTTTTAACTTTATGCATCAAGCAAAAATTTAATTATATGCAACATTCTCTGACTTGAAAAATTAGTTTAACATTTAAACCTATTTTCTGCACATTCCAGCACATAAAATAAAATATTTTTTGTGTTTACACTCAGTCTTTCAAATAGATGCAAGTAAAACACAGCAGAAAATAAATAAAGTCAAAGACTCAGCGGTCCTGTTGCTCTATTTTCACCTGTAAAGCAGGAGGTACCCTGGTGCAGGTGGCCGCAGCGGTCAGTGGAAGGATCTGGCGATTTCACATATTGATATATATATATATATATATATATATATATATATATATATATATTTATATATATATATAGATACATACATATATACATATACATAATATACATATATATATATATAATATAATACATATACATATATATAATATATATATATATACACATATAATATATATAATATATATATATATATACATATAATATATATACATATATATACATATATATATATATACTATATATATATACATATATATATACATACATATATATATATACTATATATATATACATATATATACATAACATATACATATATACATATACACAATATATATATTCGTATATATTAATAATTATATATAAACTAATATTTATTACCATACTACAAATAATATTATAGTATATATATATATACTATATAAGTATACATATATATATATAATATATATATATATATATATATGTATATTATATATATATATATATATATATATAATCAATTATATACTATAACGTAGATATGTATATATATATACTATTTATCAGATTATATACACTATTACTGTTCATATATATCTTATTATAGCTAGTACATATAGTATTATAATATGTATGTATAGTATATAGTTATATATGTATAACTATAATATAATATTAATATAGTAATTAATAAATATGTAATTAATACTTTACTACTGCTACATCGAGTTCATGTGATTCCTCCCCAGCCAAAAAAGAAGAAGAAAAAAAGAAAGAAAAAGGAAAAAAGTTAAGAAAGAGACTCACAAATCACAGCAGGCAAAGTGGGGTGTCGTCCCATTTTAACCCCTCGAACTCTCAAACTCGTTCAAAGTTCAGGAGGCGTAAACGGAAATGATCCAAGGGCTGGAGTCCGTTGAAAGGTGATGTATGAATCCAGCGGCAGGTCTGACATATTCGTCTTTTTTAAAAAACAAAAATGATTGCATATATTTTGTGCACCGCGTTGGCAGTCTTGCCCTTACTGATTTACTTCCGGAATCCTTATTTTTTGAAAGATTTAACATACACATTTATTTCCATTTATGTCGGTATACGCATGAGTAGAATCAAGAAAAAGTTTTACAGTATTTTAGATCGTTTTCTAGACAAAGTGGCGGAGCATCCGCATAAGAAGTTCATAGTTTACGAGGAAAGCTCCTACACGTACAGCCAAGCCGACAGAGAAAGCAACAAAGTGGCCAGGGCTCTGTTAACGCATGCCCACCTCAAGCAGGGGGACACGGTAGCCCTCTTCTTGGGCAACGAGCCGTGGTTTGTATGGATGTGGCTCGCACTGTCCAAGCTGGGATGCACAGCGTCCTTCCTCAACGTCAACATAAGATCCAAATCCCTGCTGCACTGTTTCTCCTGCTGTGAAGCCAAAGTCCTGATCGCTGGCGCTGGTAAGCTGCGTAAATACTGCAGTAAGCTGTTGGGGTTTGTTTTAATGAAATTAACTTTGAACGTGCGCATATCTTTCGTTTTTTAATATCACGTGATCATATTGTCTAATTCATTTAAAAAGATCTTTTTGTATCTCTGACTATTTTTTTTTTAATCTGGGAGGTTTGGACTGCACTAAAGTTGCATGGGTATATCTTATTAATTTCACCATCAAATAGATCGACTGTTTATTAAACACACATTTATGTAACCCTGTAATGACTGATCAGCACCTCTTTTCTTTTTACCTCCCTCGCTCTCAGACCTTCAAGGAGCAATAGAGGAGGTGCTGCCCACTTTGAAGCAGCAGGGTATCCTTGTGTTTATCCTCCGTGAGCACTGTCATGTGGACGGCATCGAAAGCCTCTCTGACAAAATTCAGATGGAGTCAGACGAGCCCCTGTCCCGTCAGCTCAGGGCCAGCATTAACATCAAGAGTCCTGCGGTGTACATCTACACATCAGGAACCACAGGTAACCTCGAGGGCTTATCTGGCCTTGACTTCTAATCTATGTTCATACAATTATCATGCAGAGGTTGAGTAAAAGGATGACAATAAAACTGTACTACATCTGCTCTTATAGGGCTTCCAAAAGCAGCTGTGATTAACCATGAGAGGGTATGGATGCCAGCTTTTGCCCTGACCTTTGCTGGTGTGCGCTCAGACGATATTGTCTACATATATCTGCCTCTGTACCACACTGCTGGCTTTCTTATGGGACTTTGTGGAGCTATAGAAAAAGGTAATACATAAAACATTACCTAAAAATAAAACCACAAATCAAGATTTCCACTGAATTTATTGCAGGTTAAACCAACATATACATGACCTCAAACTACACCCGCTTCTATAGTTTGTACTTTGAAGTCCTAAAGTTCGCCTTGCAGAGTTTACAACACTGAACTCTTAGCATGAAGCGGCATATTTGCTGAACTCTGTATCTTTCCATTTTTAGGCACCACTGTTGTTTTGAGAAGCAAGTTCTCTGCCTCCAACTTTTGGAATGACTGTAGAAAGTACAATGTGACTGTCATCCAGTACATAGGCGAGGTCATGCGCTACCTCTGCAACACACCGAAGGTAAACACAAGTTTAAGGTGTCTGTGAAGGTTCTCAGTCATCCAGGTCATCGTAGTCGAAGGAGCTTGCAAAGAAAAGCGTCTGGACTTCTTTAAGTTACTTGAAGACGTTTCACCTCTCATCTGAGAAGAACTGAAGAAGCTTCTTGGATGAGAGGTGAAACGTCTTCAAGTAACTTAAAGAAGTCCAGACGCTTTTCTTTGCAAGCTCCTTTGACAAGTTTAAGGTCATAATTTACTAATGACGATATTGGGATATGCATTAGAAGCTCAAACTGTTTTAATGATTTCTACCAACCTGCTTCAGTCAGGAGCATTGTTTCTTATGGTCATTGTTTATGTTCTCACCTCTCCTTTGGCCTTCTTTTAGAGAGACAATGACAAGGATCATAAGGTCCGACTGGCTGTAGGGAACGGAATAAGGGAAGACACCTGGGTTGAGTTCCTGGAGCGATTTGGGAACATTTGTATCCGTGAATGCTACGGAGCAACTGAAGGGAATGTTGGCTTTATCAACTATGGTGGGAAAGTTGGAGCTGTTGGCAGAGAACATTTTCTCTACAAAGTAAGATGTAATAATAATAATAATAATACATTATATTTATAGGCACCTTTAAGACCCTCAAGGTCACAAAAAAGTAGCAACAATACAACAAATATTGCAAAATAAACTTTAAACATAAGGTAAATGAGGGGAAAAAAGCCAGCATGAAAGTATGAAAAGTAAGCAAGGTAAAAATAGACCGAGACGGAATCAAGGGTATGCAATTCTGAATAGATGGGTTTTGAGACGTGATTTCTAATTAATGAGAGAGTTTGTAGTCCAGAGATCTGGTGGAAGTGCATTCCAAAGTCTCGGGGCAGAATAACTAAAGACTCTGAGTCCCATGGTAGTCAGGCGAGCAGGTGGAAGAGACCGAAGGGAAGCTGAAGAAGAGCGGAGTGTACGAGGGGATGAGTATGTATGGAAAGATCGGATAAATATGGAGGCGCAAGGTTGTGAAGATGGATAGATGTGAAAAAGAAAAGCACACCCTCTTTCAATTCTAAAGTTACATAATTATAAAACGATAACATTAGTCCACCTTTCTTTATAATGTCACTTCAAGTTGCTTCAGTTGTCAGACAGATGGTCTCACATTTGACTCTAGAATACTTTGGTATACGGAGGAGTTCATGGTCAACTTAATGACTGCAAGATGATCAGGTCCTTTGGCTGCAAAACTAGTCCAGACCATCTCCTCTTCACCATCCTGCTTCACAGTTTTTATGCTGTGCTTGCTTTTCACAAAATATGCCACTGTGTACAGTCCATTTTCCCAAAGGTCTTGTGGTTTGTTCAGATGAATTTTGCAAACCTAAGCCATGCTTAGAAGAACCATGGCTTAAGTCATAGCTTTTTTAGAGAAACGTTTTGTCACTCAAGTAACTTCAGTCTCAGCTGAATGCAACAACCTTATAATGGCTGAAACTAGTGCCACTGGTGGACAATGGGCTGTGAGTCTCTGTGAGGCCAGTGAGCCTTTTTTCAGAGGTTAACTGGACCTCTGTATATGGAGATGTGGCATGATTTATATGACTAACTGCTTATTCTGTTCAATGTATCTGTAAACTGTTTCAGATGGCATGCAAATATGCCCTCATAAGGTTTGACACAGAAAAAGAGGAGCCAGTCAGAGACTCCAGAGGATTTTGTGTTGAAGTCCCAAGAGGTGAGCCTGTCTCTTAAGGTGCCGCCTTGCCTTTTAAGCTGCTATTTAAACGTATACTGTTACTTTTACTCGCAGGAGAAACTGGTCTGCTTGTGGCAAAGATTGGAAAAAGAACACCCTTCAGTGGCTATGCCAAGGGCAAGCAGCAGACAGACAAAAAGAAGCTAAGAGATGTGTTCGAGAAGGGCGACATGTACTTTAACAGTGGCGACCTTCTAAAGATTGACGACGAGGGATTCATCTTCTTTCAAGACCGCATTGGAGACACTTTCAGGTCTGTGAAACATAATAAATGAATTTGACAATCTGGGTGAAAGGTCAGGACAAGGAGTACCAGAGAGTGTTTTT